GGGTTACAGGTCCTTGATTAACTAATCGTAAAACATTCGGATTACTGCATTCTGACTTTGATTTTTTTTTCTACGTAAAAGGTTTCTTTTAAAAACATTTTAGATTGTAACCAGTCACAGGCGTGGTTGTTGAGTGCATACATGCAATGAACAATCAGAGCAATATCTAATAAGACAATCAGTAATGACAAAGCATTCCTAATAAATGGGGTTTAGGCAGCCTGACATGCAGGTGGCATGGTGGCACATTAAAACTGCTGAAGAAACATCTGATACTCAAAAAGAAGCATCATGATACATGTCCACAAGCTCTGAGAAATCAAATCACTAGAGGTTTTTTTTTAATGCAAGCTGAATTACTGTATTTGTTCATGCAGTGTTCTGCAATCTAAGCGTAGGCACAGTGCAAATTAAGATATTTATTGTACATTACGGACCACTTCATTGATTATAACAGTGAGTGTTTTTTTGTCAAATTTTAAATTAATGTGTATTGTAGTTTTATTATAATTTGATTTGCTAAGTTTGTTTTGTAAATTACCTTAAATTACTGATGCTTCTTTGTTTAGGCTACCATACCAATACAAGACAGTAAGGACATCAAGGAGATCAAAGAGCTTCAAGTTAGAGTCATCGAAGAGGTAAATGAAGAAATCAGAGTATTGAGAACATTTTCTGAATGTGGTGTTACCTCAAAGAAATATTTGCAGCACAAACAAGTTTTTCTGTATTCATATATATATGTATATGTATATTTCTTTTTTTCCCCTTAGATTTCAAGGGATGAAAAGGTTGAACATGTTAATCCCGCTAAGTGCTTCTACAGTGGATTGTCCTATAATGGTATGACTGGCAATTCTCTTACAAGCTTATTTACAAAGGTTCTCATAAGTATCACAATTTAATTATTTTAGCAGTAACTTGACTTTAGCCACCTAGATATTTGACATCCTTTCAGGTAAAAATAAAAACACCATCTATGTAACTTTGGATAAAAGCATCTCCTAATGAGTAAATATAAATTGTATAATTTGAAATGAAATGCATTATACAATCTTGGCTTGACTTCATGGCCTTACCTCAGATTAATTATTTTTTACTGAATATTATGATTTGCTTCTTATGTGGAAATCAGTAAATGGCCACACAATTTGGAAAACATGCTGTATTTTAAACGTTTGTACAGTATATTTTATTTGTTTGTACATCTGTATATAAGTTTAAGCATATAGTTGGTTAGGGGAAATATTGTGAAATATAACTGAAAAAGAAGGTGCAATGTTTACTAGTGTCTTGTAATCCAGTCAAAGAGATGTGCTGTAATCTTTCTGTATATATCATGCTTATTTAATAATGTTTTTCAATGGCTTTTCTAAAATGGCTGTCATCTAAATGTAATACTGTGCACTTTTCCCCCCCAAATAACTCACAGATTTACCTGTGGATGTAACTGAGATTACGGCACTTGGTCGTCCTTTGGATCTTGGAATGTTTTATGACTGTCGGAATGATTCATTTATTTCAGGTTGGTCTAAACTCATTTACGATGACTATTAGTGTATTGTAATAATATTTTAATACTATTTTAAAATATATAATAATAAAATAATTTAATATAATTTTAAAAACTCAAATGTAGGAAGTACATGTTCATGTTATTCTCCCCTACATTTTACAGTGCTACTTGGGTGGAAAAATGCTTCTTTTTTCCTTCAGTAAAAGATGTAACTAATTAAATTGGCTAAATAAGCTCTACGTTCTCTGACTTTATGATTTTTTTTTAACATTTAGCTATTCCATACACCCTCCTCTTAGGCTTCTGTGATGTAAATTGATGTTGTATGTGTAGATGGACTTTAAATTGTTTTTCAAATAAGTAAAATTGAAGCAGAATATGCTGTGAATGTGTTTACAGACGGAAACCTTTGGGATAACCATACTGTAACAAGTAACAGAATATCTTGGCCCCTACTGAAAACACATCTAAAGGTTTTGGAAGATGACTCCCTTCCGGAAAGATGCAAAGCATTTGAAATGTCACCTATGTTACGAGTAAGTGCTCTGTGTGGACTGATGCTAAATGGAGCTGCAGCCTTTCTGAATCACCCAGTTCAGTCTCAACATCAGGACAGATTTACACTACACTATAAAACCACCACCAGACTGGACATGATCAGCCAAAGACTGTTACAGGAAGGAGCTCCTACCTCAGTGATTAATGCAACCACAGCAACACATGTGATCATCGCGGTTTTCTATGGAGCCCAAGCATTCTTTGTTTTTGATGATAAGAGAATCAGCACAGAGAAAAATACAGAAATGGAAAATGTTATCAAGAAGCTCACCACTACCCTCAGTGCACAAGATGTGTTCTCAAGTCTCAATGAAACTGAAAAGGCAAACTGTATGTTATATGACTGCAGTATGTACATTGACGTAGATGATTGGAAGAGTCCAGTGTCTTTTGATAAGGCTGTGGACATCTACGGTTCTCTGCCGACACTGCTTGGATCCAAAGGTGAGAGAGCGGTCCCTCTAAAGATTTGGCTGTATCCTCTGAAGAAACTGGACAGGAGCTCAGTGTGTGCTGCTCTGAGTGGAGTCAGTGAAAACTTGACGCAACAAGCTGAGAATATTCTAGAACATCTGAGAAAACAGATCAGGGTCTGTCAGGACATGATAACAGACTATGATAATCTGACTGTGATTACTCGGTTTCCTGCTTTGCAAGAACAATTTCAAAACTTTTCAGAATTTCTACAAGAGTACATGTCAGATTTTCAGAGAAAAGCTGCTGAGATTATTAAATCCATAAATGTCAAGGAAGCAGAAGGAGAGAAGAGTTTTCAAGAACTCATCAGTAACTGTGTTCAGTCTCCATTCAATCCAGAGAACACACATCATTGGCTTGAAAAGAAGAAAACTGATCTGGCAGTTTTAAATGAGTGCAGAGCAGCGAACATTACCATTGTAAAATCACAGGAGGAGCTTCAGCGTGTCATTAATGATCCTTGTATGAGCAGAGTGTTCTGCTTCACTATTTCATCGATGGAGGATGATTTTCCCACAACTCTGAAGCAGCACATTCATTTAATGAAAAACTGCACATTGACCATGTCTGATTGCATAAAGCTAGAAGATTCAGTGCGGTCAGTAAAGCCTGTTTGTGTCAGTCAGAAAGTATTTTCTGACTTAAAAGTATTTATTGCTGCCAAAGAAACAAATGAAGATGCAATGCAAACCAAGTTCATTGCTGCATTTGTACCTGATGATGGTTTTCACTGTGTGCGGTTTTACCATGCTGGAATCATTATGAGCAGAAATATGAAACTTCAAACAAAGCCAAATCTTATCCAAATATCTCAAATAAAACACAGTAGCATGTCCTTAAAAATGAATAAAACACAAAACAGAAGCATTGAGAGGTGTTTGGTGGAGTACAGAGCTCTGGGTGATGATGGAATGAACAACACTTGGAAACAGATCTTTTTTGACACCAAATCTGTTAAGGAAACCTTCATTATTTCAGGACTTACACCAGGCAAAAGATTTCAGCTGAGGTATTCAGTGATTGAAAATGGCTGTATGAGTAACTTCAGCAAGATTATGAACTTTCATACAGCTCTTGCAGCAATACCTGGGCAACCCTTGGTGAATAAACTGAACAGAAACACTCTCAGATTTGTCTGGCAGAGAGCTGAAGCTGATGAAGATTGTCCAGTGCTGCAGTATATGGTTGAGTACAAAGAAGCAGGACTGGAGGGCTGGTCATCAGTACTAACACAAGGACCTCAGTGTGAATGTACATTAACTGTTCCTTACAGCACCTGCTATAGAGTCAGAGTCTCAGCTGTCTATGAGGACGTCACCAGTGAACCCAGTGAGGAAACACCAGTACCAGTTGACGGTGACACATGTGACACTTTTAAATCAATATACTGTAGTTGTCAACTTGTTTGTTTTTTTGATTTAACCATATTTCTTGTTGCTGATTTTTCTGCATCTGATTCCATTGTCGCCAATAGTCTTGTCCATAAAGCTCTCAGAGAGAAAGATCTCCATCCTCCTAGAAGTGCTGAAACTGCAGACAGAGAAGAAACCAGTAGAGCTGATAGACTGGACAGATGAAGAGAGTGAAGTGAGGGGATTCCTCCAGTGTCTGCCCTACATCTCACAGCTCAGGTGAGAGTCTCATGAGGAACACACCAACCATGCTGGATTATTGTATTTAGTGCTAATAATAAAATATATGAATTTAATGTACAGTGTATGTTAGGAAGACAATATATATGTGAACGTGAACCAGAATTGAAAACACTGTTTCATAAACTTCATAGACTAGCCTTACAAGTTAGTTATCTAATTATTTTACACAAGACTGATCATAACTGTTTTAAATCAGTTACATAAAGAGGTATTGGTGTAATTTGAGTCTGAAAAGTAAGTGTGATTCGCCCTAACTAACTGCTAGTTGTTCATACTTGTGCAGTGTTGGACAGTAACTTTCTTTGGTAACTAGTAGTGTAACTAATAACATTAATTTTTTGTCACAGTTGCTAATGATTTGAAATTCAAAAATCCAATCATCCCTATCAATTCTCATAATCGTTTTTGTGTGTGTGCGCTCATGACATCATCAACGCTGCAATTCTTTGTCTGAAGACGGAGAAGAACTTTTATAAACCACATCATATAGCGGCTGAAATACAGCCTTTATTTGATATTTTCTATGTTGCTGCTTTATTAAATAACAGAAGGGGTTTAATCAAATTGTGGCTTGTCTGGCGTCAAATCAATGCCAATAATAACCGAGCGCAAAACTGATGCATGACATCTCCTTTGCACGCAATATATCTGCTCTCGCCTGCTGCTTTTGCTCGCTCGAACAGTTTTATTTTTGGCAGTCGAGGGGCAGGACTTACTGTTTTAATAATCTCGAATGTCATTGGTTATTTCCCCTTTTCCAGAAGTCAGTTGTGATTGGGCGCTTGTCCAATGACCCATAATACACTTGACTTGAGACATGAGACATCACTTAATTAGTTTTATTTATTGTGGTTTATTAATGTGTAATGTGATTTAATGCATTGTTAATATAGATTCTTAACAGATACTTTATTAACAGGAAGTCTTACTGATGCATTTCGATAGCATTGTAAATGTACCAAAATTCTTAAACATTTTATGTAATATAAATGGTTAATTATATTACGGGGGTGGGGTGGGGGGGGGGGCACAATGGGGTCAAGGTGGAAAAATGTTAAATTCTGGCTGGTAAACATACCATTTCAGTGCAGTTTGGGAGGGACAAAAATACCTTAACGGAGCTAGCAGCAACCCTCCTCAATCTGAGGACTAAGATAAAGTATTTATTTTGTACGTTTATGTAAAAGACAGGTTGATGAAAGAACTGTAAGCTCAAATTCAAAAGCTTTTGAAGTCTACTTCATTAAAGCATGTTTACACACACACACACTTACTGTACACTTAGGCCTACTACACATGATTTTAAAAACAGTGCCATTGCAGTTTTTATGTTATAATGTTAAATTGGTATGTGACCTAAGAACAATCTTACATTAAAGGTACATAAAGGTGCTGAGGTCTGACTTTGTGGTGCTCTGAAATTAAGTTATTTTAATATTAATATGTGATGAAGGACTTTGTTTGACAGATTTCAGTGCTCAATAAGGTTAACACTACCCCGTTTATTTGAAAATGGTTAATATTTGACAGAAATATAAAAAAAAGTAATGAAATGAAATGTAATATGTAAATGGACTGCATTTATATAGCGCTTTCATAGACCTAATGGCCACCAAAGTGCTTTACATATTGCCTCACATTCACCCATTCATACACACATTCATACACCGATGGCGGTGTCAGCCACACAAGGCGCCATCCAGCTCGTCGGGAGCAGCTGGGGTTAGGTGTAAGTAAGGCCCCGTCCACACTACTGCGTTTTCGTTTAAAAACGGAGAATTAAAACGAATACGATCTCCGTCCACACCAGCGTTTTGTCTGCGTATTAGAAACGATCTCCGTCCCCATTAAAACGACTGAAAACGCGGATCACGTGACCATTCACCAACACTGGGCATGCGCGCGCCGGTGTAAACAGTGAATGACGAATCAGGGAAGGATACGTCATGACTGATAACACCCAATCATAGAGCCAAGCGTCAGCCTCTGCGTCAGCGTTTCTGAAGTTATCCGTTTTGTGTCGTCCACACTAAAACGCCCTCCGGAGATTCAAAAAGCAAAACGCAGCTGCAGCGTTTCTAAACTTCTCCGTTTTAGGTCTTCGTTTTTCCCGTTTTAGTGTGGACTGGAGGTGCAAACGTAGCAAAAGGTCTCCGTTTTTAAACGAAAACACAGTAGTGTGGACGGGGCCTAAGTAAGTAAACTTTATTTATATAGCACTTTTCACAGACAAATGAAGGGTCACAAAGTGCTTTACAGTAAAAAACAAATAATAAAAAAAATGAAAAACCACAACACACATTACAACACCACCATATAGCTAGTTAAAAGCTTGTCTAAAAAGATGTGTTTTAAGGTGTTTACTAAAATTTTCTACAGAGTCCAAAGCTCTCAAGACTAATGGAAGAGAGTTCCAGAGCCTTGGAGCCACCACACAAAACGCACGATCACCTCTTGTTTTAAAACGTGTTCTAGGAACAGTAAAAAGGTCTTGGCCTGAAGACCTCAAGGAGCGGCCGGGACACGTCCATGTCTTGCTCATGGACACCTCGACACTTGGTCAGGTGGAACCGGGGATTGAACCACCAACCTAACGGTTTGTAGCCAATCCACATGAACCACTGAGCCACTGCTGCCCCGAAGTAATGTAACATTACTTAAGCAAAATCATTGAAATACTATATTTTAAATAAGGAACTTGTAAAGAGTAATTTATGGAAATGCATCATTACAGTCTGTAAATATCTCTTAAGGCCTTTTCACACCAGACGTGTAACGAAAAAGAGAAACGGAAAAGCGAATAGTTTGCGTGCGAGTAGTTCGCGTTAAAACCATTCACATCAGCCAACAGCTGAGCTTTTCATTTTCTTTAAAAGACAGAAAAGAAGGTTTTGTGTGCAACCAATCTTAAAGAACAGAGAGTCTGAAGGGGAGTACTATGCTAATCTGCTAAAGGAGCTAAAACTTTGCCACAAAGAACCGGCCAAAGTAAGGATTATGCATTAAACATTTGAATTTTTTATTAATAAACTAGTCTGCCGAGTCTGTCCAGCCTCCTCCCCCTCCATCGTATCCAACTCACCACCAGGCGGTGATCAGTTGACAGCTCCGTCCCTCTCTTCACCTGAGTGTCCAAGACATACGGCCGCAGGTCAGATGAAACGACCACAAAGTCGATCATCGACCTACGACCTAGGGTGTCCTGGTGCCACGTGTACTGGTGGACACCCTTATGCTTGAACATGGTGTTCGTTATGGACAAACTGTAACTAGCACAGAAGTCCAATAACTGAACACCTCTCGGGTTCAGGTCGGGGGGGCCGTTCCTCCCAATCACGCCCCTCCAGGTATCACTGTCGTTGCCCACGTGAGCATTGAAGTCCCCCAGTAGAACGACGGAGTCCCCAGTCGGAGCACTTTCCAGCACTCCTTTCAGAGACCCCAAGAAGGCCGGGTACTCTGCACTGTCGTTTGGCCCGTAGGCACACACGACAGTGAGAGACATATCCCTGACCCGTAGGCGAAGGGAAACGACCCTCTCGTTCACCGGGGTAAACTCCAACACATGGCGGCTGAGCTGGGGGGCTATAAGCAAACCCACACCAGCCCGTCGCCTCTCACCATGGGCAACTCCAGAGTGGTGAAGAGTCCATCCTTTCTCAAGGAGTGTGGTTCCAGAGCCCAAGCCATGCGTAGAGGTGATCTCGACTATCTCTGGTTGGAACCTCTCAACCTCACGCACAATCTCAGGCTCCTTCCCCGCCAGCGAGGTGATGTTCCACGTCCCTAAGGCTAGTTTCTGTGTCCAGGGATCGGGTCGTCGAGGCCCCCACCTTCGACTGCCGCCCGATCCTCTCTGCACCGGCCCCTTAGGCTCCTCCCGCGGGAAGGCGGTCCCACGTCGCTCGTTGGGGAGGGGTCAGCTGAGGTGGCTCGGGCATCTGTTTCGGATGCCTCCTGAATGCCTCCCCGGGGAGGTGTTCCGGGCCCGTCCCACCTTGGACACGCTGGAGAGACTATGTCTCCCGGCTGGCCTGGGAACACCTCGGCGCCCCCCTGGAAGAGCTGGAGTAAGTGTCTAGAGAGAAGGAAGTCTGGGCATCTCTGCTTAGACTGCTGCCCCCGTGACCCGGCCCCGGGTAAGCGGAAGAAGATGGATGGATGGATAAACTAGTGTTTTCTGTCAGTTTTCGGTATGAGACGCGCTCCAGTTCACTCGCCGGCGCCTCCGTGTCCTAATTATATTGTCTACTATATTTGCTTTTTATTTATTAATCCAGGCTATTTGTTGATGAAACATTGCTAAAAATTAAGATACAAATTATACAAAACGATATTCAGTTTAAAGAAAGGCTTTCTTCAAAACAAAACTTAATAAGTGGCCAAAATTATGTCTAACTCATTCCAAATGTTTTTAGGCTATTAGGCATCTTATGATCCTTACTCATCTCATGCGGTTCACTTTTCTTATAGCTAATCAACATAGATGAAATAAAATAAAAAAAACATTATATTATTTAAACATATGAAATGTATGTTTACGTTTTTTAACTTATATTTAAGCGTCACCCGGCTCCGCTTTACTCAATGTCAAGAAACAACGCCATTAACACCAATGGACTGTATGTACATACACCAAATCACAAACAAACACACACACACACACACATATATTGTCACAGCATTAGCACGGTATGTTTACTGACATCGATATCATGTATACTCAGACTTGTGCAATGTTTGTAAATGTTTGTAGGTATTGTGTATAGTGGGTTTAAGATATGTAAGGGTACGGTGTGTGTTTTCTTGTTATGTGTAATGAATATGTACAATGAGTTTGGGTATCATTAGCCGCTAAAATTGTTCATTCATTTTTATCAATAACCTCAATTAGTGATGTGACATTTGAACCGAGGCGTCTGAGCTTGTGTCGAGAAAAAATATGGGCGTGCCAGATGAAGCCGCGATTTGAGGCTTGTGTTGTTAACGTGAAAATCACATGAATAATGACAAACGAGTCCTCGGTTTGTGTGGAAACGTCATCGGTTCAGTCTGAGTGTCGCTTCTGGATAAAGTGGGATAACTATATTGTAAGGCGGAATACCACATCAAGTGCTTGAGAGCACTTCAACTCGGTGCATATATATCTATGGACTCGCCGCAGTAATATCATCACTCCGGAGAGTTAGAGGGGGGAGAGGACTTTTCACGAGTGATGATATTACTGCGCCGAGTCAAAGTGCTCCCAAGCACTTGCTGTGGTATTCCACCATACAATATAGTTATCAATTTTACACGCTTAGAAAAGTGCAACGTTTTATTTTGTGTCACCGTCCTAGGCCGAGTTACACTGCTCAAATCTTTGATTCACAGGCTGCAAAAATTATGCAATTACCAATTTGTTTGGAGGTGTAATGGAAAAGTGATGCAACTAGTGTAATATGGCATTATTTCCCTGTCAAATGTCGAGAGCGCATTATTGTAGCGCAAAAGTACATCAAAAGAATCAAAAAGAATCTCTCTGCTCGCACGGATTATAATGCGCCAAGCGTGAATCTCTCTGCTCTGGAACTGGGCGCACGCTCTCAGATATACGCTGCTCTTGTAAGAATTTTCTCTGGGCTCGCTCAGAAAATATGCCTGCACTTAAAACGTGTTTGTTGCAATCGCGAATCTCTCCTCTATGTGCTTAAACTGTGTCCCGTGCCTTCGCGCATGCCTAAGTACTCTTTTCTTCGATTTCTTTCTCTTTGCTCTTGGCATAAACGCTGTCAAAACGGCAACAAACAGTCAGAAAAGGCTTCAATGACCAATGAAAACGCGATATTAAGTTACCTTTCACCGCAAAAGCTGGCATGAATTTCTAAATAATCCATTGGAAAATTATTTAGACACAGTGGACGGGCAGCCTAAAAACACAATAATGCAATCAGCAAAGAAAACAAATTACAAAAAAAAAAAAAAAAAAACACCATACATTAAAAAGCTGAAGTAGCTGAAATAGTTTAAAGCTGAAATGCATGTGCGGTTGAATATCAACCAATAAGATTCCATGTACGATGTCGCGTTTTCATTGGTCGGTCGTTGAAGGCTTTTCTGATTGGTTGTTGCCGTTTTGACTAGTGATGGGCAATACCACTTATTTTGTTTTGCAATCGCGAAAATCACCTCTTCGCTTTAAGTAAGGTGTATATGCTCTTTTGTAATTTTTTTTCACATCTGCTGATGCAGTCTTACAAGTTTGTGTGTGTTTGTGTGTGTGTGCGAAATTACTGATTGACTGTAATGGAGCTCTAGATTAAGTGGTTACTGTCAAATCAGAAAATATAATATGTAGAAACTGTGTGTCTGACGCAGGTTTATCTTCATATCAACTCAATATATGTGCAAATTACATGTTCTTGAAATGAAAGGTTTGAGGAAATTAAGTTACCCAGACTTTGTTTTTTTTTTAATGTTAGCTATTTAGATTCCGAAAGATAAAAGCTATACAAAAATACTTTTATTTACTAAATATTTTATTTAGGATTATATTTCTTTTTTTTTTTGTTACCCGCCACCCCCCCCCCCCCCTCATTGGAGGACAACTTTATTTTTAATACAAATTATGTACCAAGTACAAACAGTGATTACTTCAGATAAACCCACATCCAACCATAATGCCTTAAATGACAGAATTATAATAGGATTAAATTATAGAATTATAATAGGATTATATTTCTAACACACAATTCTATACACAACCAGCCTCTACAACTGAAATATAAACTGAATGAATAGTTAAATCCCAATGTTCATAATTCATATATATTTTTATATTAATTAATAATTCAATGAGTCACGTTTTTCAATATTTTATATTCTTCTACACTGGACAATAAAGTGATAATTATGTGTGTCTCCACAGATTTTCTGGCATTATCTACATGAAGAGAGAAACTGCTGTGAAGTTTCTGCTGAATCTGTTTGTTTCAGCATCAGAGTTTGATGGAAATACAGAAGAAAATTACACTGAACTATTAACATCTGTGTGCAGTTACACATCTTTCCCTTTTGATGAGAATTATTATGATACTGAGTATCAGTGTGATTTCCTGCTGGATCTGTGTTCACATGTGAAGGACTATGAGACTCAAACAGGCAGGAGTGTCCTTCCAGCATTACAGTCAGTTTATCAGTCAGCTCCTGCAGTCTGGATAATAAAGCTCTCAAAGAGAAAGATCTCCATCCTCCTAGAAGTGCTGAAACTGCAGACAGAGAAGAAACCAGTAGAGCTGATAGACTGGACAGATGAAGAGAGTGAAGTGAGGGGATTCCTCCAGTGTCTGCCCTACATCTCACAGCTCAGGTGAGAGTCTCATGGGGAAAATACACTCATAGTTTGATTCAGTTTATTTAAATATTGTCATTTAAATGCATTAATACATAATATAGTTAATTTAAATTAATTAGAAAAACATTTGTCAGATTCTGTAAACTTAATTTCTATTGTTTTATTGTAGCTGAAGATTTTAGCTGTAAGACTGTAGGACAGATCTGTTGTTTTGATTTTTAGTTTCTACTGTTTACATTCACTTGAGATTGAACTGACTGCATTTACATTAATATTGAGCCAAAACACACTGACAGCAGAAAAGTGATAAACAACCTATTTAATCATGACCGTGCACTTGAACAGATTTAATAGGTCTTTACGTGTTGTTTGTAATTATTTTAATATTTTCACTATTTTAAATACAGTCATATATTCAAAAATATTATTTTCAAGCCTCATTTTGACCTTTTGTCACAAACACTTGGTTTGAGTGCTATACATCTCCTTTAAAGGGTTAGTTCACCCAAAAATGAAAATTCTGTCAGTATTTACTCACCCTCATGTTGTTCCAACCCCGTAAGACCTTCGTTCATCTTCGGAACACAAATTAAGATATTTAAGATATTAAGATCGCTCCTGCATACAGTCCATAGGCTTCTTGAGGGACTGGCTCTTGCTGTCCCCGAAAAGTCATTAAAGACATCGTTAAAATAGTCCAAGTGACTACAGGGACTCAATCTTAAGTTTATCAAATGACAAGAACACTTTTGTGCGCAAAAAAACAACAAAAATAACGACTTTATTTCAAAATGTAATGTGGCGTATCTTAACCGAACCAGGAAAAAAACAACAACTCTGCACTCAATTGGATAGTCGGTAAACCTACAACCAATCAGAGCAATGCAGTAAGTCAACTCCTTTGCATACAGTTGTCAACTACAGAACGTTTCCTAACTTTACTTATTTTAGTAGTAAAATAACGAGTGTTGCTTCTTTTACTTGGTCCTCCATGAGTGCCACCAAAGGAGAAACCACAATGACCACACGCTTTTCATTACCTCCCATCTTCTTAACGACCGTCAGAGCCAGCTGATAAGTTACACTTTTCCCAAATCATGTTGGATATCTTTCTGATCGACAAATGCCTTGATTGCAGTTCTCTGTTTGTCTATTAAAATGAATGCGCTGTCAATTTATTTCACAACAGACGCGACAGCGGAATATATACATCTCAATTCTCCAGCTGCAGTCATCTCTGAGGGAAACCAGTTAAGCGCACTTTGATAACGTGATGATTATGTCTCTGCAGATCACCTGCCCATCATTGTATAAAGCCTGTCCTGGCAATTTGATTGGATCGAACGTTTCTTGTCTGATCATAGTTACTCCTCAATGGATCGAGTCCAGACCGAACTTCCCGACCAAAAAATGTTGTAGGCGGAGTTCAGGCTGGCATCCAGGCTATGACATTTTATTATTTAACTAGTTTAAACTTGTAGTAAGCTTCAGGTGCCTGTTAACATGAGTATCTCTATGGTCTTGGGTGACCTGCTTTCTCTTTCTTGTCATGCTGTTGTTCTTCCTCTGCTGGCCAGGATATCAAAATGAAAGGGTAAAGTAGGCGTTGATGTGTTGTTTTGGAGTTGGTCATATGCAAATATCTACTATAGTCTAATGTCACAATGTGGAGGAAGTAGAAAACAAGTTATCTGGCAGCTTGATTTCAATTTATGCTGATTTTTGGGGGTCTGAAGAGTTGTTTTTTTCATTGTACAATGACATCATGTATGTCAAAAGGTAAAAAAAAAAATGTTTCCTCATTCCATAAATACTATTGGTCAACAAACATACGTAATACGTAAGGGTTAATGCCCGACGAGGTGTCCATTGTAAGGTTTTAATGGACGACGGCGAGGCGTGAACCGGCCGACGCGCAGCAGAGGACGGTTGCCTCCGCCGAAGTAGGGCATTAACCCTACTTCCCTCCGAATTAATGCCCCCCTCGGAGTCGCTCATTGTTGTATAAGTATGTAATATCTAACTAACGTTAGACGTTTGTTTTGATAGAGCAAATTGTTAACAGATACTTTGACTGCCTGTTGCTATGGTTACTCACAGCTGTTGTAGGCAGCGCATTTATTTATTCATTTCGAATGGTAAACAGGCAGTTTCACCAGAACTACTTTACTAGGTGTCCTCTATCACTTTTTAACGGACACCCTGCAGCCAATCAGAATCGAGTATTCACCCAGACCATGGTATAATTTGGCTGATTCACCAGAGAAAAGGGAAAAGTTTGGCCCTGCTAATATCGACTTTGGTAACTAGGAATGTATGATTTAGATAGTAAGTCTCAGCTAGGCAATACCTCTTCTGAAACATGTTGGTCTTGTGTTTTGGTGATGACTAACTTTTACGATGCAGCAGACACCAGGGAATCCATATGCAGCATTTATTAGACGAAGTCAAACAGGCAGGGATCAAACAACAGCAAACAGGGCAGTGGAGACAAGGCAGAGACAAACCAGATACAGGCAGAGGGTCGAGGCAGGCAGCGAGAATCAGAGTCCAGTGAAACAGTCCAGGGTCAGGACAGGCAGAAAAGGGTCAGCAACGATAAACAATCCACAGGTCAAAATGCAGGAATCACATGAACACGGGAGGATAACGCTCAGAATTGCAACTAACAGTAAATCAAGACTTCGCAATGAGTGAATGAGAACACGAGGTATTTATAGACCAACGCTACTTTTGCGTCATCGAAGGGTAACGCCCCCTTTTGGGGGAAAACACCTCTATACTGTCTATGGGAAAACAAACGGATTCCCATGAGAACAGAACTCGCACTAGATCTGCAAAGTTTCTTGATAGCAAAAATGGCACAACATTATAGAAGCTAACGTTACTGAATACGGGGTTACAGAGGTGTCCCTTTGAAATGGTCGAAAACTGGATTAATGACCCCACACAGCGGCCAAATATGGACTATTCAGACATCTAACGTTACCACTATCTCGTGGAATCACCAAGTAAGTAGCCTTTTTTTTTCATTAACACTCACAGTATGACAAACTAGACGATGAATGGATCATATTTAACTTGATTTAAGCTATTGACAGTTTTGTTGTCGACTAGCTATTAGAAAGACTAGCTGTTAGCAGCTAACGTTACCTTATTAGACTATGTCAATAGCTTAAATCAAGTTAAATATGATCCATTCATCGTCTAGTTTGTCATACTGTGAGTGTTAATGAAAAAAAGGCTACTTACTTGGTGATTCCACGAGATAGTGGTAACGTTAGATGTCTGAATAGTCCATATTTGGCCGCTGTGTGGGGTCATTAATCCAGTTTTCGACCATTTCAAAGGGACACCTCTGTAACCCCGTATTCAGTAACGTTAGCTTCTTTAAGTGTGTGCCATTTTTGCTATCAAGAAACTTTGCAGATCTAGTGCGAGTTCTGTTCTCATGGGAATCCGTTTGTTTTCCCATTGACAGTATAGAGGTGTTTTCCCCCAAAAGGGGGCGTTACCCTTCGATGACGCAAAAGTGGCGTTGGTCTATAGTGTGAACTGAACAAGACAATGAGAACCAGGTGAATGAGATGAGTGCTGATAAGTCCAGGCAGTGAGTTCTGGGAAATGTAGTTATGAGTGAAACATGAACATCTGGTGTGGAGTGCCCTCTGGTGACTCTCAAGGGCACTCCACCTAGTGACCGTTACACTAACAGGTACAGCAACACATCTGTTTGTGATCAGCGGTTCTGTGTTTCCTGAGTTTATAATGTTTTCTTCCACACAGCGAGACTGACAACTAATATGTCAATATATTTCGGTTTCTAGAATTCTGGGGAATAAATGGTATTGGTGGACAGTAAATGCAGCCAAAGTGTTACTAATGCATCTGTAATGGTGGAGCAACCGTCTGTCTGACAAAGAGTTACATTAACAGCAACTGAATCTGTTAATTAATAATTTAGAACTTGTGGTTTCAAGAAATGTTTTAAATTACTGCATTTGTTTCATTGTTTCACAGTTTAGTTGCAGATATGCACTCTTTTTTTGTTTGAAAATTGATTTCAACTAGCGTGATTCCATTTGCCAATAATCGTTTGATATTTTGCTACAAAAATGCAAAGAGCAAAACTGAAAACTAAAGATAATAATAAAAAAATCTGTTCATCACTTTTCACTGTTCAATTACACTGACCTTAGGTATTGTCTGACAAACTGTTTAATTAATTTAAATAATCTTTATTTGTCTCCTTTGTCGTCTCTAACTGAATCTTGTTCATTCCTTCTTTAGATTTGTTAAACTACAGAATAACTCATCTGAATCATGGGAGAAAAGAAAGAGATCTTTCATACTGGATTTGTGTCTGCAAGCTGCTCTCCACCAGAAAGAGACAATAGAAGAAACTGTGAAGAAACTGTTGTCGTCTGTGAATTATGAGAGATGTGATTTCCTGCTGGATCTGTGTTCACATGTGAAGGACTATGAGACTCAAACAGGCAGGAGTGTCCTTCCAGCATTACAGCCAGTTTATCAGTCAGCTCCTGCAGTCTGGAGAATAAAGCTCTCAGAGAGAAAGATCTCCATCCTCCTAGAAGTGCTGAAACTGCAGACAGAGAAGAAACCAGTAGAGCTGAGAGACTGGACAGATGAAGAGAGTGAAGTGAGGGGATTCCTCCAGTGTCTGCCCTACATCTCACAGCTCAGGTGAGAGTCTCATGGGGAAATACTCTCATAGTTTGATTCAGTTTATTTTAATGTTGTCATTTAAATGCATTAATAAATAATATAGTTAATTTAAATTAATTAGAAAAACATTTATATCAGATTCTGTAAACTTAATTTCTATTGTTTTAATGTAGTTGAAGATTTTAGCTGTAAGACTGTAAGACAGATCTGTTGTTTTGATTTTTAGTTTCTACTGTTTACATTCACTTGAGATTGAACTGACTGCATTTACATTAATATTGAGCCAAAACACACTGAGAGCAGAAAAGTGATAAACAACCTATTTAATCATGACCGTGCACTTGAACAGATTTAAGTGGTCTTTACATGTTGTTTGTAATTATTTTAATATTTTCACTATTTTAAATACAGTCATATATTCAAAAATATTATTTTCAACCCTCATTTTGACCTTTTGTCACAAACACTTGGTTTGAGTGCTATACATCTCCTTTAAGACTGGCCACTGTTATGATTGGCTAAGGTCATTTCATAGGAAAAAGTATCAGTGCCTCCAATATTGCACCTAAGTGTTTAAAAAACATTATCATTAGCTGTTTTCTGATACAATTAGTGTTGGCATTTCTCTATCTTCCGATAAACTTTTCTTTCCAAACTCTGCATTAAATTATTCCTGATCACAAACCCAAATCTGTAGTGAAATGATCAGAACAGATAGGCTACTAAAAATGCGTTTCATTAATATTACTTTCTCTGGTAACTTTCTCTGATCAATTTTCATAATCGTTGTTGTGTGTGTGCGCTCATGACATCATCAACGCTGCAGGGGCCAGGGGCCTGATGTATAAACGTTGCGTACGCACAAAATGAGCATAGAAATATGCGTACGCATTTTTCCACGCACATATCGGGATTTATAAAAAATAAACCTGGCGCACCGTATAAGTGCGCACCGTATAAAATAAGTGCACACCGTAAGGATGCTCTTGACCGTGCGTACGCACTCTTTTAGAAGAGTAGGCTATGTGTTTTGGCGACACCGATGGTGAGCTGGAGTTAAATGTATTTTTGGTCACTCTTAGACAGAGAATCTAAAGAATATTATACATATACAGAAATATAATTAAAAATATAATTTCACAAACCTATCATCACTTGAAGCAAACATCCATCCCGCGCCATGAGCGCGTTGGGCCGTTTAGTGAAACTGACGCACGGCTACAGCCTATAATCTAACGGCAGATGAAGTAAAACCGTAAATCTTCATTATGATTCCTAGTCATAAATACAGTGCATGTTCACAATAACAGTTTAAATAAATAAAAGAACGATTTAAACTATGTTTTACTTCTGATATAAACATTTAGATGAAATATGCCATTCTCATTAATGGAGTTAAACACTTAAAGCAATAAAAGCAATAAAAGGCAATAAAAAGTCCCTTGTGTGTGTGTGTGTGTGTGTGTGGGGAGGGTTTGTTTGTGTGTGGAAACAATGTTTAAGTATTGGGGTTTGTAGGAAGAAATGCATTTAATTATTCAGATGATCCGTCATTCCGCCCAGTCCTTACACGACCTTTCACATCTTTTGTACAAAGCATTGCTCTATATGGTTCTCCCTCACACAGCCAGCTCTTCTCAGACTGGATGCGATGGTGCAGGTGTGGCCGAGGCTGCACCTGTACGCATTTCCCCCGATATCTATACTCCCGGGGGTTCTGGAGAGGGTTCGTTGGGAAGGGTCTCATCTGCTATTAGTAGGCGCTTACTGGCCGACCCAAGTTCGGTTCTCGGACTTAATGTCTCTTCTGGACGGCTTTCCCATTGAGATTCCGCTCAGGAGGGACCTGCTGTCCCAGGCAGGGGGAACGATATTTTACCCTCGACCAGAGTTGTGGAAACCGGGGGCCTGGCCTCTGAGGGGGCCCGGCTCATAGAATCTGGTCTCTCGACTGAGGCCGTTGAGACATTCTCCATTCCAGAGCCCCTTCCACGAGAAGACTGTATGCATTGAAATGGAAATTATTCTCCACCTAGTGTGGTGAACGTTATTTAGATCCTGTTAACTACCCTGTTGGTTCAGTTCTCAATTTTTTTGCAAGACTGTTCAGTCCTTCCAGAAAAACGCAGAGTTTTTTTGTGATTGTTGCGGGCAAAAATCCTTGATTACGCGGCCTGTTTTCTTTAAAAATGCGATGGAATATGCGGGAAATTTATGCAATTTTATGCGATGAAATTGCGGGAACATGCAAAAATTGCGGGAACTTGCAAAAATTGCGGGAATTTGCAAAAACTGCGGTTTGATGAAAAAGAGAAAAAAAAGTGATTCCCCCAACACCCTGTTCTCCCTAGGCTACTACCTTAATGTAAAGAGTCATTTCTTATTACTTCCTTTGATAAGCAAGCATCCTACATCATAGAAAGTGCTGGGAATATTTAATTACTCATCTTGTTTTATATCAGACTATAACGACTGTAAATAAGGTGTGGCCCCTTTAAGAGCTGCGCGCTCCCTGTTGAATTGTCTGCAGTGTTATATGTGCGCCTCAAACACCCCATGTGGGCGGGTAATTTCTATTTGATCTTAATTCTTTTATCTTATGTTATCTTATGTTTATTAAGTAACGATGTGATGGTAGAACGTGTCACAGACAGAAAATACGAGTTCGATTTGTGAGATGTCAATCGCCTCCGTGAGTCTGTCTGGCCTCTGCAATAACTTCAGCTGTGAGCTATCCCGTCGCGTAATTGCGTCACTTCATAACGTTCCCATGGAAACAGGGGGAATTGGCTGCTCTTGCGTGAAGCAAGCACAACATTTTTCAACTTTCTGCTAAGATATATGTGACTTTTTTGCAACGAAAATGCGAGGATTATGAAATCATGCAAACCCCGCATATTTTGCACGTAAATCGGCAATTTATGCGGCAAAACTGCGGCGTATTTGAAAAAATGCGGCCCCCGCATAAATATGCGGACTTTGGCTGATTTTGCATTGAATTCAGCGATCGCATAATCGCGTTTTTCTGGAGGGACTGACTGTTTCTCTGCTAGATTATCTCCTTTCACCCAGGTTTACGTGGCGGCTATATCTGCCTACCACACCCCTATGGAGGGTATTTCTTTTGGGAGAGATCCTCTTATTACTCGTTTTCTCTGTGGTACACTGAGATTTAGACCTGCCCTGCACTCTAGAGGGGATTTAGCCATTGTACTTGAAGGTCTGGCTTTGGCTCTCTTTGAGCCCATTGAAGAGGTTTCAGAAAAATTCGTCACTCTAAAGACTCTTTTTCTCCTTGCTATTTCTTCTATCAAAGAATTGGAGATCTACATGCCCTGTCGGTTACTTCCTCTTTTCTAGAATTTGCACCTGGTATGGTGAAAGCATTTGTATACCCTAGACCGGGTTATCTTCATAAGCTCCCAGTTAATGTTGGGGGCCCTATAGTGCTGCAGGCCTTTTATCCTCCACCTTTTAATACCCCAGATCAGGAATGACTGAACCTGTTATGTCCAGTTCGGGCATTAGATGTCGATGTTCACAGAGCTGCCCTGTGGAGTAAGTCTGAACAATTATTTGTCTGGTTTGGGTCACTCAAGAGAGGGTGCCCTGCATCTAAACAGGTTTTGAGCAAATGGAAAGTCGAGGCTTTATCATTGGCTTATGAAGCTGCCGGACAGCCTTAACCTATTGCTGTTCGGGCCCATTCTACTAGGAGTATGGCAGCCTCTACGGCCTTTATTTCGGGTGTTTCCCTTGTTGGTATTTGTAATGCGGCAGGATGGTCCTCTCCGCATACATTTTTCAGGTTTTATGACCTTGACCACTCCACTCCAGGGGCGAGGTTGCTTTCTTCTAAATGTGCACAAGGACTTCACACAGAACAGGCATTTGTCACTTTGGCGTAGTGCAAGGGTGTCAAACTCATTTTTACCCCGGGCCACATCAGCATTATGGTTTGCCTCAAAGGGCCAGTTGTAACTATAAAACTGTGTAAATGTAGCTACTTCTTACATAACTCTCTCTGAATTTGTCATCCAGGTGGATGCTGCACATTAGTGGTGGTTGAGGTGATTCCCCCTTCAATGTAAAGCACTTTGTGTACCTAGAAAAGCGCTATATAACAAATTATTATTATAAAATTATTCGATTTGATAACTACACTTTATTCAAGTGTACAAATACTGCAAATGCATTCAAATAAATGTAAATATATGTAAGCACATTGCTCTGTGTTATTAGAACATAAATCCCTTTAATTTATCAGATTAAGGTTATCATACTTTTCAAGTGAATAACAAAGACAAATAGCATCAAACACAAGTTATTAAATCAAATTCGTTCAAAACTTTGTCACAGTTGAGAGGGCGTGAGCTTAGAATTATAAGGTTCTATCTCCGTTTAGGGTAGTTCTGAGATATTGAGCATCAAAGTTTTTACATCCCAGCTGGCAAAACTGTTATGTAGTATAATCTTCTATTATAGCTAGTAGAGGTTGTCATCGTTGATGCATGATCTGTGCTTGGTCTTGTTTAGATTCATTATTGAAAACATCTGTTCGCACAAGTAGGTGCTCCTAAACATGGACAGAATGCGGGCAGCATTAAGCCGAAGCTGTGGCATCAATTCAGGGGGCAGTAGGTGGTAAAAGTCCTGTGTTGCAACATCCTGGAACTTTGCTCTCAGGGCACTATTGCTTTGAAGTTCTATTAACTCCATCTGAAGGAGATGCGGTGCACTGTTGACGTCAGCGTTGAAAGGATCGGCAAAGATGGCAAAGCCTGGGTTCTGTGTTTTAAAGTCAGAGATGCGCCGATCAAATTCATTAATTAACCTGTTCACTTTGGTAGCCAAGCCAACCGAGCGCATGAAAAAGCACCAGAGACTGAGGCGGAGATGCACTGACAGACAGGAAAGTGGGCAAGATTATCCGGTTCCAGTTGGGACTTCCACATGTGCAGTTTACACTGGAAAGCTCTGATCATGTAGGACATCTCCGTGATTACTTTTTTGCATTCCTGCAACCTCTGATTCAGATGGGCGAGATGTTCAGCTCGGTCACACAACATAGCGAAGTCACACAGCCAGTTTGGATCAGACAGTTCATGCAAAGGCTTTCCTTTACTGTGTATAAAAAGTGCAATTTCTTCTCTAAGCTCAAAAATGCTCGAATGAAGTTCATTGTTTTCACGACTGTGCTCATTATATCATCCAGTTCCAAAACCTTTCCACACAGAGCTTCTTGGTGTATAATGCAATAATAAGTTATCAGAGGTGTGTGGCAGTTGCTTTTTTGCATTTTCTCCTTCACTAATCCAACCAAGCCTGCTTTTTCTCCACTCATCGCAGGTGCGCCATCGGTAGTTAATTCCACCAAGGTAATTTAGTTTTACTTACGACATCTCCACTGCATCAAAAATGTCCTTCCCCTTCATCGTCCCATGCATTGCAACTACATCCAAGAGCTCCTCACTGATAGTGAAGTCTGCTTTCACGTCTCTTATAAAGCGCTGTATCCATATTGTCTGTACTTTCATCAACAGCTAATGAAAAAAGTCTGGTAACTGCGTGTCTCTTCGGCCAGCTGTGTTGTCATATTGCCTGCCAGTTCCTTAACTCGGTCTGCGATGGTGTTTCTTGAAAAACTGACATTTTTAAAATTCTGTATCTGGTCAGGGCACTCCTGCTCACATACCTTTAGCATACTCCTCTTCAAAAATGCTTCCTCTGAAAAACACTTGGAAGCGCGAGCGATTTCTTCAGCCACAATAAAGCTAGCTTTCACAGCGGCATTATTTTTTGCTGTGACTTTCGTGAACATATTTTGCTGCCGTTGTAGTCTGCCTTTCAATTCTTGAACAATTTGATTTTTTCTTGGAGACTAGAGTTAGAATACTTCGCTCCATGTTTGGTGTCAAAATGCCGACGTAAATTGCATTCCTTCATCACTGACACAGCCTCGCCACACAGAAGACATTCCGGTTTTTCTTCTTGAAGTACAAACATGTATTCACTTTCCCATCATTCTTTAAATTGCCTCCCCTCTGCATCAATTTCAAAATCATCAATTTTTCTATCTAGTGGCATGATGCCTTCATTTCGTGGGTTACAAAATCGGCATGCATTGTGGGAGATGTAGTTTTTGGTCAATGATCGCTGTAAGCATACTTTATTTTAAGACAATCATATACCTTTTGAGCTTGCATGTGCCACATAAAATGACAAGGCCTTGAGTTTGACACATGTGGCGTAGTGGGTATGGGGTTCCCACCGCATCTCAAACGCAGCTCAAAGTTCCCTTGAAAGGAAACGTCTCAGGTTACGTATGTAACCCTGGTTCCCTGAGAGGGAATGAGATGCTACGTTTGCCTGTCATACTTCCTGCATGCCCTGATTCACTTGCTTCAGGTTTTTTCAGAAGCTGGCGCGGTCTGATTTCAGGGGTGCTTTATAGTTTCCTGGCCTATGACGTTTCGGGTTTCCATTGGACTGATTTTACATGTGCTTCACGACGTAATCACGCAGGGCGTTCCCACCGCGTCTCAAATGCAGCATCTCGTTCCCTCTCAGGGAACCAGGGTTACATACGTAACCTGAGACGTTTTCTAACAAAGCCCAGCCCTATACAGTCTCTGTTTAAGCACTATGTGGTCCACTGTATCAAATGCCTTTGAAAGGTCAATAAAAATGTCTGCACAATGCTGTTTATTATCCATGGATTCAACAAAGTCATTTAAAACCTTAAGAGCTGCCATGTTGTACTATGCACTTTTCTAAAACCAGATTGGAAGTCAGACAACACTCTATGACTGTAAACAGTTCTTTAACTTATCACTGACAACGGATTCTATCTTGACCAGGACAGACAGTTTAGAGATTGGTCTGTAGTTATTTAATATGGTAAGGTCACTAGCAGGGGAAAACTAAGGCTGATTTCCAGATGAGAGGAATGACATTTGTATTCAAAAACAGATTAAAAATAGTAGTTAAGGGCACATCAATAACATTTCCTTCTAGCTTTAAAAAGTAGGGTTCCAGTTTGTCAGGGCCTGCAAATTTGGGTGTCCAAATGCTTGAGGGCTTTATTTACGTCTGAGACTTTGATAGGAGTGAAACTAAAAGACAGACTAGGAGGGTCAAGACTAACAGTCTCAACTGTAGAGGAACACTCATGTTGTGGACTGAATGACTCAAATAAAAATCCTGAGGCTATGAAATGTTCATTAAAACAATCAAGCATTTTGGCCTTCTCGGTAACTTTTAGAGAGTCCATGACAATGATTGAGGGAAGCTCTTGTAAAGTGCATGTGAATCTGATTACTGATGTGATCATACACAGTACAATCTGCACTTGACTTTAATGAAGCTCTACATAAAGCATTTACTGTCATGATAGTCAGCAGACAAACACAGTGTAAAAACTGTCTGGCGGCACAGTTTTACCTTCATAATAATTGATTCAATGGCTTAACTTATTTCGAAAGAATGTCTCAAAGAAATTAATTAAATTCATTGTTCATTCATTAGTTTTATTTATCTGTGCACCTCATTATCTTTTGTATATTAGTTCATGTCTGTTCCCTTTGAGTTTGTCCGGTCACCGTTATACTTATATGTGTTACGCTACTGCCTGTTTGGATTGGTAAACTTTGTGTTGGAACTTTATTCTTCTGTGTGTTCGTCTGCCTGCCTGCACACACCCATGAAAGTCAGTTTAATTTTTAGAAACCTGAAACACAAAATACATTTTCAGAAAAGCTTAATTCTTAAAATACATTTGCAATTGTATTTGAAAGACAGATAAACCAAATATATATTGTGGATCACATCCATATCTGGACATTAACATTCTTATTGTGTCTCTGTCCACAGAATTCATGAAGATGCTTTTGAAATGAAGCAATCTGCTGGCCAGTTTCTGCTGAATCTGACTGTTGCAGCTTCGAAGTGTGTTACAACTACAGGAGAGAATTACATTGAGCTTTTAACATCTGTGTGCAGCTACAGATCATTTCTCTGGTATGATGATGATGAGTACTATCAGGTTGGACACTGTGATTTCCTGCTGGATCTGTGTTCACGTGTGAAGGACTATGAGTCTCAAACAGGCAGGAGTGTCCTTCCAGCATTACAGTCAGTTTATCAGTCAGCTCCTGCAGTCTGGAGAATAAAGCTCTCAGAGAGAAAGATCTCCATCCTCCTAGAAGTGCTGAAACTGCAGACAGAGAAGAAACCAGTGAAGCTGATAGACTGGACAGATGAAGAGAGTGAAGTGAGGGGATTCCTCCAGTGTCTGCCCTACATCTCACAGCTCAGGTGAGACTCTCATGAGGAACACACCAATCTTGATGGATTATTGTATTCAGTGCTACATAAAGAGGTATTGGTGTAATTTGAGTAAGTCTGATTAGCCCTAACTAACTTCTAGTTGTTCAGACTTGTGCAGTGTTGGGCAATAACTTAAGGCTACTAGTAATGCATTACAGTAATATTATTTTTTCTAGTGACTAGAACTAATAACATTTATTTTTTTGTCACAATTTCTAATGATTTGAAATTACAAAAATCCAATCATCCCTATCAATTTTCATAATCGTTGTTGTGTGTGTGCGCTCATGACTTCACCAAAGCTGCAAACTGGCTTTGTCTGAAGACGGAGTAGCCTACATTATATAGCTGTCACGGCTGGATAGTGGAAAGGATGGAGGACTCAAGTGTGGGAAGACGATTTAATAAAGTAAATATAAATACAAAAACCAACAACCAAAAACAGACAAAGAAAAAATCAGGTCTAGCAGGAAACACAAGGAACATAATAACAACAAACCAGCACAGGACTACAAACACAGGGAAACTAAATAGGGGAGCAAATAAGGAGGGTAACGAGGGAAACAGGTGGGGAAAATTAACCAATAATCAGATAACAAGGAAGGACAAGTAAAGACAGAAGCCGTTTCTCATGCGTACTTGTCTGTAGGCTACTTGTGTTCTTGTGGACTTGTGAAATGTCATCAGTCACTGCCCAAGTACTGTTCCAATTCAAAGTTCACATCAAGCCAAGTCCACTTCAAATCCCCGGATGTGTTCTTGATCCGCCCCGTTTACCGAGGATGCATCGAGAGGTGACTTGTGTGGACTTGAGATAGCCAGGTAACCCAGAATGCACCTCGCACCAACCAGCAAGCGTTAATAGGAAAGGAGAAAATCCACGAAATATCAAAATACTACTGTTATTGAGTCATGAAATGTAATTTTAAGAGTGTTTCAGGCGAGAATGCGGTTGTTTAAATCTCAAATCTGTAGTTTATTTATAAAGATAGCGCCTATCTGAAAAATGCATCAGATGTTTTCGGAGTTCTTACATCCAAGCCTTCAGCGGACACTCAGCGAGATGAACCCCGACTGGAACAGCTTATCCTCGGCTAGTGCTTCTGACGTTTGCCGCCGGCTCTGATCTCTCTAGTCTAGTGCAGAGCCATGTATTGAGATAAACATTGAAGTATAATAATTCGTCTTGTAAGTCTATCTTTGGTCTCATTAAACTATAGTATGTTCCATGGCAAAAAAAAAAAGTTTTTGAGGTTTCATAAATTTATGGCTATTTATTTAACTTTAACAACATTTTTTTTATATATATTATCTTCACTATATGAGCAATAAAATAAAATGACTTAACCCCGTCTCTGTTTGATAAATGTCAATAAAAATCAATGTTTCATATTTCTAAAATGAAAACAAAAAGATCATTTGTTCATGATGTTCATTTTGTTATAAATATAGCTATGCAGTGAAGAGAATTGCGTTGCCTGAACCACATGGTCATTAGGCTAATATGTCGTTTTTTTGTTAATGAAAAGAGTCAGAGTGGTGTTTTATAACATATTTCGTTTTATCGTTGACGAAAAGATGCAGATTTGTAGCAAATTTCGTCTTATTGTTGCCTAAAATATAGGCTAGCTATATAAAGAGATATCCGGAGAGTAGCCAGAGCATGCTGAGTGACGCGATCAAGTACGCTCTGTTCCATTTGCAGAAGAACCGGACTTGCGTCCTCGCATCCTCGGGAGTTTGTTCTCCTGAGTCGAACTTGGCAAGTCTGAACTACCAAGGACGCAAGTCCGAAGTCTGCGTACTTGGTATTAAGAAACGCCTAGAGACAGGAACACAAAAGCCCACATGTGCTACATATGACAGAACAGACATGTGACATTACCCCCTCCTTAAAGGGGATCATGCAAAATCCACTTTTTTAAGTGTTTATAAGTACAGAAAAGATGAAATTATTCTCTTCAGGTGATTCGTTTATATCTTTATATTCTGTTTTGGTCATATTTTTCATGAAATGTCTTTGACGTTTTTTGAGCAAGTGTGTCAACGTATTTGCAGCGGAACTGCCAAATAAGGACATTGACTACCGGTCCAACACTTCCAGCAATCCGCCATTATTATTTCTCGCTCCGATTTTGTAGTCCGAGCTCAATGATGCAGAAGTTACGAGAGGGCAAGTCAAAATGTTCAGTTGTTGGATGTACGTTAGTGACCTGAAGCACTTCAAGGATTCCCACTTCAACAACCTCCGCCAGTAACGTTATACAGAAGGGTTTGCCGATTGACTTCGTCTGAATGAGAGGTAAATTCCTTCTATCTTTGGAGACGACGAAGAGTGCATTTCGATAAGCTGTAAATATCGTTAATAAAAATAAAGTACTTTACTTTCTTAAAACACATGGTGGTCATGGTTTAGCAGTACCTTTGTCTTTCTTTGTTTTTGTTTTGAAGTAACGTTACACGTCTGCAGTATTATTGTTCTTGAGTTTCATCAATGGTCATTTAGCTGCTGTGTTTTCTGATGCTTTTCTAAACATATCATATTGTCAATACAGATTTTTTTTGTGTGGTAAGATTAGACCGTAGTCATTTATCTTGTCAGAGTGCTTGTTTTAACAAGAGAAATAGTCGACTTTCACTAATAACACAAAACAGTTAACTCACATACCAATATATCCATATGAAGAGGTTGTTCTGCAGGTTCGTCGTCGTCTTTATCAACTCGCTCACTCTGGCTCGAATATGTAAGGCTTGATGGACAAGTCTTCTGTTGTTGACATTTTATTAAAGTGTGAATAAAAATGTTCTTTGAAGGTATCATATATAATCGTATATCTCTAATCAAACTACAATAATGGCCGAACACGGGGAGTTGAACTGACCGTGAACTCATCGACCTGGAGAGCGGGCGGGGTATGATGCATCTCCTTTTTATTTAAAGGGGACGCATTGAAACGAGTCGCTCAAAGACGCACATCAGAAAAGGGGTAGAAAAGGGGCCTGTGGAGCTATAATAATGAGGAATTCAGACCCAAGCATTGCAGTTATGTTTTATATAGACCACACAGACCAGGGACATTAAAGAGCACCTATCTTGGATTTTTTGAAAATGACTGTTCATATGGTGTGGATATAGCTCTGAGGGAATGAAAACATCCTGCAAAGATTTATATCTGAGAGTGCTCCATATATAAAGTTATTGTCTTTCAAAAGTGAGAGTCGACTCTGAGTCTATAAAATGAATTGTTTTTGAAACGAGTCATTAGCTGTTACATCGTGACGTAGAGAGGTTATTGACCGCTCCCAACAACTGTGCGCGCATACGGAAGTGTAAACTTGAAGTGACGTCTAGAACACATTCAAATACAGTTCAGCCACTTGTTTTCATTGCCCAGGGACAAGCATGTGAAGAATCAGTAGTTAGAGTTTATATTTGCAAAGATACCACAACAGTATAGCCCGAACCTTGTGTTCTCATCATTTTAATGACGAATCATTCAAAATTCAAAAACATAAATAAATTCAAATGTGTTGATTCGCAAGCCGGTTGTGCCTGAAGGAGGCCTCAGTATCCAGTGTATATGGATCAGGTTCGTCCTCCTCCGAATCACAATCTGTAAGCAATATTAATAATGTTTGCTGTTATGTTTTCTGTAGCATGCACAATATAGTTATATTGTGTTGTGTACACTCCGCGCACCTTCTAAGCGGGATAAAGTTAGTTTTGTTTTTGATATTCACCAGACATCCATTGAAAAATGGCAATTACCTCCTAAACGACTTAGCCAAATATGACTTCGCTCTATATAATAAGCACTGTCCCTCAAAAGCCGCCGCAATGTGAGTTTCGGCGGGAAAGCTCGCTCTTGACTGAGACGCGAGTAAGGGACTGTGTGGAAAGTGCACTTTTTCTGACATGTTTGTTTAAACACTATATACAATTTTCAACACTTGACGAGCTATAATCCTGGTTATGGGCTTTCCGTTGCCGACAGTCTCTGCCTACGGTTTACCAATTACAACTGACTGGGTCATTTGACCAATCGCCGCAGATTCGCGTCACTCAAAGGAGGTGTTTGGGAAAATGAATCATCGAACGAATCATTTGGGAGTCGTTGAGCAAATCAGTTAAAAATAAATGCATATTATAAGACAAATAAAGTGTTTTTTATCCTTGCATGCACGTTAAACTGTTTTTGGGAACTCCTAAAACAAAAATAGGAACGTTTCAAATGCTATGATAGGGGCTCTTTAAGGAGGGGCAAGAGGGACAGACCAGTGTGGTGGAGACTTTCCCTCAGGCAGCCATGGCGGAGGCTCAGGTACAACAGACACTGTCTCCGGCTCAGCAACAGCAGACACTGTCTCCGGCTCAGCATCAGCAGACACTGGCCGTGACGTGAACAGTCTCTGGCAAGGCAGACATGAAAGTTCGCTGGGGTGGCGCCGGCAGAACAGGGTGTCTGGAACGGTGCGGGCAGAGCAAGGCGCCTGGGCAGCACGTCAGGGATGGCAGTCCCCTCTGGGATGGTCTCCGGATCAAGAGCCACCGGACAAGTCGTTGAAGAGGCCTTTCTTCTCCGTCTCGGGTCCACCAGACTCTGGACCGCTAAGGTCGGATCCTTCAAGGCCATACACCTTATTCAGAGCAGCGCCATGACAGGTATGAAAGTGAGGCTGTGAGGGATAGACTTACCGTGTTTCCAATGGCATCCACTGTAAAAAGCTGAATAAAACTGCTAGATACTTACACTTTTCCACAGCTTACATTGTCGGGAGTTTTTTGTCAACTGAAATTTCTTGGAAAGATATATTTCCAGTGTTTCATGAGCAGAACAATCTGAAAACACATTAAATAACAGTACAGCCCATTGAAGAGATGCATGACTATCCCTCACAGCCTCGCTTTCATTCTCATTAAAAATCAAAGATGGCGCTGCCGTGAATAAGGCGTATAGGGGTCCTCCTCCTCCTGCGCCAATGAATGGCGGTGTGGTATTAATGGCCTCCGGAGGTGCTGCCTGTTGCCACATTGGAGGTTTTCCTTGTGGGTCTAAAACGTTAATAAAAGCCCAAAAGTCAAAAGCTCTAAGCACTTCCATCTCCAACACATCAGGGCATAATTAAAGAGGTCCTTAAGAGCGTTCCTCGTGACCTGATGATCCGGTCATAGTGCGAGCAGTCAATCAGCATCACTGGTGGTTGACCCAAAGTCTTCCACTGAGTCCTCATCATGGCTGGTTCATTCTGTCACGGCTGGATAGTGGAAAGGATGGAGGACTCAAGTGCAGGAAGAGGATTTAATAAAGTACATATAAATACAAAAATTAACGACCAAAACAGACAGACAAAATTAGGTTCAGCAGGAAACACGAGGAACATGATAACGACGAACCAGCACAGGACTACAAACACAGGGAGACTAAATAGGGGAGCAAACAAGGAGGGCAATGCCAAGTTCACACTACAGGATTTTAAGCGCGATTTATGCCCGATTTGCAAATCGTTGAGTCGCCGACAGGTCAGGGTGTTATCGCGTGCAAATCGCGGGGGATTAGCGGACGATGAACGCTTGCCAATCTGTTAGTATGAAAGAGCCAACAACGCAGCGAAAACGCTCGCAGATGCCTCACAGACTCGTCGCCGAGCCCAGAAAAATATCTAGCCTGCTAAATATCCAGAGCCGTCGCGCGACTCAAACTCAGTGATGTCATGGGTACAGCCAATCATAGCAACGCATAGGTTGAGGACACGAGGTAAATCTTCTCTTTTTT